ATTTATTTATTTATTTATTTAGTAATTATGTACAGTAGATCACAAAAAATGTTAAAGATAAACCTTAAAAGCAATAAAAAATTATAAAATCAAGAGCAGAGCATTATTTATCATATTCAAAGCTAAATGAGCACAAGGATATTAAAATTTGACACAATAATCATTAGAAACTTCTCAAAGTCAGACTCTTTCATTTTCTGCTTCTGAACATTTTGGCTCTTGAACACTTTTTTTTTAACAATATGTATGATTTATTAAAGCACCTAATTTTTTTCTGTGACCATGCTTTACATGACAGGCAACATAATTGCATTCTGGGCCATATGTGTGCCAAATTGTGCCAAATAAATCTCAAACCTCTGAGAGTTAAACGCACTGAATCATTTGTGATGTTTTCAATGTTTGTAAAACARTCTGTCACCATTAACCTTGTGGTTAATGGATGTTTTAACTAATATAATCTGCTTCTACGCAGAATCACAATCCATATCATTGCGATGTGAGTAGTTTGTAGCTCCTATTTAAACATACGTACATGTTGTGAATGTAGCTGTGACCGGCTGGCTTCGGCCCTGGTCTCTGAGCGCCACAAGGTTCACGGCGTACTCCTCTCCTGGCCTCAAACCAGTTTGTACAAATGAGGTGATGGTGCTGGGCAGCTGAGCTGTCATGCCTCCATCATTGTCCTTAAWATAAATAGAGACAGATGGAATGTGTCAAAAACAAAACAAATCTGAAACGTAAACTGTATTATTTTTAATTAGCAACAGTAACTGTGACACAAAAAACATACAGTAAATTAAAATATGACAGAATAAAAAATATATATTCTAGCAAGAAGGAATGTTGAGCTAGGCAGTACATTTTCTGAAACATACAGTAAGTTGGAGCCTTTTCTGGCCGTTTGTGAACTGAAAAACCTGAAATGATTTTGCACATTAAATTCCAAACCATATTTCCCTGCAGAAACGAGTGTGCAACAGTGATATTTCTAAGGCCGTGTTCTGCAGAGGCAGCACTTTGCATTTCCAAAAACCTGTCACTCATCAATACACTGYCCCGGCTATAACCAGCTGTTCTGAAAAAGCCAGAGTTGCAAATGCACTTCCTGCTGACAGACAGATGTTTTTACCTACTGCAGGCTTGAGAACCCAAACCAGCTGCACTTTGATGGTTTTTATCAATTCAAAACACACAACAGCTTGTTACTTTCCATGAATACAGTTTTAATTTTAGTTGTAATTTAATCACTTCCACTGAATTACCCACCTGGGGAGTAATAAATAAGCATAATCTGCCCTTAACAACTTATATTAAATGTCCACAAAAAAAGGCAGAAACCCTTGACTAATAAAATTTAAAAACTGTAAACAAAATAAATGACCACAACAACATTACCCATTCTGAAAAGGTTAATCTAAATGATCACAAGCACCAAGGTTTTGGACCTCTGTTTTACAACATAATACTTTATCATATGCATGTAGTATGTTTTGTTTTAATAAATGAATTAAAAATCCAAATTTATATTCCTGACTTTGAAGTAGCTTTTATTACCTTTTCCATTTTTTACTTTTTTTATTTTAACATTTATATTTTGGACAGTCTAAATTTTATGGTTAACCCAAACTATGTRTTTCCTCACAATCTCACCATGTATTTTCTAAATCTAAGTAACAACAATAATGTTCAGATTGTACTTGTGTTGGTGATTCCAATCATTTCCTTGGATCGATGATCTTGGAATTGAAAATTATCTAAAATTGGGTGGTGAGTGATTTCTAAAAAACTGAATTYGCTACAGTCTCTTTCATATCTGCACTGAGCTTCTTGGAGATTCATCATCTATTGTTCCCATTGTGTGCCGGCCAGTCCTGTTATTACTATTAAATAACCCCTATTATGTTGGCACAGAGAAGCTAGCAGCTGCAGCCAACAAATAATCCCTAACAGGAGGTTAAAGCCATAATAGCTGTCAAAATACATGATTTTCCTATGTTTTGATTAAGGATTTTAGGCTTCTAATACAATTTATTCATCATTAAAGGAATGTTTGGGGGTTAATTTATTCAAATTTATTCATTTATTTATAATTATTTATTTCTTTATTTTTATACATAAACTGGTTTAGAAAGCAGCAAATCTTCCCCACCTTTGTTTAGAATACATTTGGAAATCAGTATGTTGGAATATCTCAGCACAGCTCATCTCTATAAGACCTCGGCCCCAACTTTTGATGTAATGCTCTCCACTTGATGACTTCCTCCCCCGTAATTACTCTGCTTCTGTCTACTCTCATTCTTATAGCTTTAAGTTGTGGTTTGTTTTCCGAAGAAGAGAGAAAATCTTTGCATTCACACTTTCATCCTTGCTTTTTTTTTTTTTTTTTGATTAATTTGTTCTCCCTCTGACTCTGTTTACATTCGGGGAATATTTTACCTATTTAATTGCCATTCCCGTCTGAAATGGTTGTGGTTTTATTAGAGCATGTTGTTGTCATTAAAATTTACCCTCTTGAGTCTTCAATCAATTCAACAAATGGTGATTAAAAAATTCATTTGATAAAATGATGAGCTACATAAATTACTATTTTCTGTCTTTTTAATAGAATTTTTAAAATAATTTTCTAAATAGTGAGTGGTTAATGATCAAAAATTTGCAACGTCAATTACATTCATTATAAATTAAATAAAACTTTCAAGCTGGAAATGGTTTTCKTGTGTTTAAAAGAATGTAACAACCTTCAAATTTTGAAGCTTTTAAACTGTTCAAAATTGCTCCTAATCCTGCTGAGACTTTACAGTTTTCATTTGGAAGGAAGGTGTTTCATAAAACAAACAGCTGACATTTCAGTTTGAATTATTCCGAATATCAAACGTCTTTTTTGTCTTCTGTTTCAGCACTGCTAGTTTGCCTGAGAGCAAGTTAATGCAAAAAAAAAAAAAAAACTGTCATGCTGACAATCTGGAAACTTAGGGGAAGAGGTGCAGAAAAAGTAGGAGAGGAATACAAATAAGTTCCTTTGAGATTGTAAGAGAGGTTCTTGGACTTGATAGAGTATTTGTCCACTTTTAAGTGTCAGTCGAGCCAAATCATAGTAAATCCAGCAAAAGGGTTTAAACGATTGCAAGGTTGGGGATAGAAATGACAGAAGAGTGCAAGAACGCACAACTGTGCAGGGAGGACATTATTTCTTTAATAGTTAAAAAATGCACCTTTTTATTGAGTGTCGATTTTTAAGCTTTAACTGCAAGCTTCAAGCTAACTAGAAATAAGCTCAAACTATAATGCTCTTTTAGTGAATTTAAATCTAAACTAAAAAAAATGCATATTTTTTTTTCAAAAGGAAAATCCTAAATTCAGTATTATTCTTAATGCTGAAAATACTGTGTTCCAAAAACTATACATGTCCTTGGTGTCTATGCATGCTATAAAACAGCAGCAGTATATATTTTATGATTTGTATACAGTTTGCTGTTACTGTTTCTAACAACATTAACGTCTTGAACACTCAGACCCCTCCTCCTGCACTGTTTCCTCTTTAATAAATTTTGCATTTGTTCACACAAGCCAAAGCTTTAATGCCTCCTTCCATTAGGAGATTGTCAAAATTCACAATCCCCACTGCTGGTTTAAATCCACGGGGGGTGGGCCTGCCAAGTCTTAATATGATTTCCCTCGTGGTCGGAGAGAGAGAGGGAGAATGTGAGGAAAGATTGAGGAACGAGCATTTACAGGAAAATGAAAAAGATGGAGGGTAGTCCGAGAGGAAGGAGGTGCAGATATCAAGTAAGAGGCGGCGCGCATAAAGTTTAATCAGGAGATTAGTTGGAAAGGTTGGAGATGACAAACGCTGGAAGAAGAATCTGTGGTGAAAAAAAGAGGAGGGCTTAAGCCAATAAAGCTAAGTAGGTAACCTTTTTTTATCATTTAAATAAACAGATGTTCATAAAAAATTGGAAAAGAATAGACCCAAAAAAACATTTCAAAATCAAATTTGGGTCACAATGTCCCAGCAAACCATCAGATATGCCTCTTGAAAACACCTTCAAGGAAAAAAAAAAACAATTACTGTGAGAGGGAAGATTAGAGTTACAGCAGGAGATGGAAAGAGAGGTTTCGCTTCATGGCTTTGAACCTGACCTTGATATGGTTGAAGTTTAACAGCTTATCCATCTAACTGGCAAAAAGCTTAAGACAATCTACTTTTTTTTCTCCAGAAAATCTGATATGGGGTTTCAGCAGAGTGCCAAGAATTTCTAAATCCATCAAAAAAATTATCCTGTTTTTATACAAACAAAAGTTATAAATGAACATCAAATGTGGTATTTTCACACTAAACTAAAAAAATAATACAAAGTTTAATATTAAAAACTATAGCTTCATAATTATGGATTTTTGTGTGTATTAGCTGAAAAAAAATATAAGAATTTAAAAAAAAGTGATGTTGGTAATTACAGTATAATTGTTTTGTTTATGAACTTGTTTATGTAAAAGAAGCATGGGCTTTTAAATCATTTTTCATATTTAAATCATCCTGTTGGGCTCTGTATAAAGTGGAACTRAAATGTTTTGGTCTAAAATCCTCCTTATTATAACCCCACAAGCCCCTCTTTCRCCCCTTTTCTGAGGWAAGTCTCAGATCAACTCATTTTGARGCTGYCTCTTTAAATCTGAACAAGGCGCTTCAGACCCCACCCCCTCCAGCTTCTTGATAGARATGTTTACGACTACAAAGYAATGCATAAACRTTTTATTTATAAATTAATTAAATGATGTCAACAATGGAAGATGTGTCCATCCAGCCTTACATGTWGGATCCAAAGTCTGACTCAGAGCTAGAGGAGMACGAAGACGACTAAATTGTAGTTGGTAAGTCCAGACCTTGTTTGGYATTTGCATTGAATAYATGWATTGTGATGTAATAGCTCAGAAAAGTCATAGAAAATAGAGATRAAATATCACTCAAACAGAATATTAAGATATTCATGCCGCAACAGGAGAGATTAAATTCAACTTTTCTCCACTCCTAGAGACTCCAAATACACAACAAAATGCATTTAACAGCTAAAAAGAAGATTTTGCATATGTCACCTTTACTAAAACTCAGGTATTGTAACAGTTTATTTAGAAATATTTCTGTTAAAATTAGGTATATGTTTTAATAAAGTTTATACATGTCTGCTGACAACTGTGAACTAAWACAACTAATACAACTGATGAAATAAAACAACAGAAACATTTCAAATGTGTGCAGAGCAAAGATGTAGAGTAGCATTAATGACATCAGTCGCAAGAGTCTGATGTTAGTTTGGATTAAAACCAAAAGAATAACAATATTTCTTTTTTGGTTCATTTGGTTAGAAACTGTCAAAACATGAAWATGGTGTTAATGTATTTGATTACAGATGTTTGTAGTTACTGGATTAGACKTGTGTTCTGAACAACAACAGTAACTCTAAAAGATATGCCTGACATGCTTGCATGAGTGCTGCAGCATAATAAGCAAAAGCACAACCACCCTCGAGTGTTCACACAACTTTGCGTTACCTTGGGGATGAAGCTGATCTCCCATCCATCAAAGGAATAGTAGAACGGTTTCCACTGGACCTCCACCGACGTCTCTGTGATGGATTTGAAGACTAAACCATCTGGATTGGAGAGATCTGGAAATGTCCCAGAAACATGTTGTTGCTCTTCTGAGACTCACRCAGTCCATAAATCATCACTTTATCTAAAACCATATTATCTAAACCATATATAATCCATTGTTTTTTATCTGTTCTGCCACATGTTTCTTTAATTTCATGTTTTATGAATATGAATGACACTGCACTAACATTATATTTAGGATCTTGTTCAGACATTTTCTAGAAATCTTGCATTTGTACAAAACTGTATTGCCCACCCCTATTTAGTTTARCATTTTTAGAATAAATTAGAACTGATTTAGACAAAAGCTACTATTTAAATTACAGTAGCGTTCGCAGTATCCTGTTTAATCTCTGCTTCCATGGAATTCAAGACACCCCTACAGCTCCCAAACACTGCTCTGATTTATTGGGAGCTTGCTGTTGCATTAAAGGATTAAATTGAATAGAAATACAGTGATTAAAACCAAACTTAACATGTGATGTATAGGATATGATTATGATTTAACCCAAATATACACTGACTGTTGTCTAAAAACGTAACATTAATTCATTTGGTGAAACTAAACAACTCACGGGCCTACTTTGATTCTGCAAAATATCAAAATCACTTCCTCGTGTTACTAAACATCTTTCCGGATGATCAAATTCTCTTTTTTTTTAATTTCACAAAGACAACGCAATAAATCACACCCTCGCTGAAAAATGGTTCTATCAAGTTTAATTGCCTTGAATTGACTTTATTGCTCAAAATTCTACCATCGCTGAAATGAAATTCACTTATCTGTGAAATGGAGGCTGATTTTACCATCCGCGATTGCACTAATGGAAATATGTTTGTGCAAGCCCACATCGGCTGGAATAATGAATAGGCTCTTACTCAGAGGTTTGATCAGTCTGCACACTTGGTAAGCATGGAAATAACTGGCATGTTTCCTTGTCAGATCCAAGGACTTGGCATTAATACCTGCCAGTGTGTGCATGTTTGTGTGTGTGTGAGTGGGTGACACTAAGCAGTTCTCAAAGGTGGAAATCACTGCCAGACTTTACAGAGGAGCAACTTATGTTCTTCTATATTTATAGATTTTTTATAGGTTTCCATTACTGTCTAATGAACTAAGGTGGTAAATGATATATTTAGTCCTGAACCTAACATGATCGTGTGTAGCAGAATCTAAAGTAGAGCTGCACAGCAAACACAGTACCAGCACTCACAGGTCCAAACTGTAAGACTGGCAGGAACGCTGATTGTGTTGTTGATGACGGCGAACACATTGATGTTGTACTCTATGCCTGCTTCCAGCCTTGAGATCGTCCATGAGGTTGTGTTTCCTGGAAGCCTTATCTCTAGCTGCACACCTGACAGAGAGAAAAGACAGCAGATACAAAAGCCGATACGAGGATGCACTTTTTATTTTCATTATTTTTTGTCTAGCAGGACACAATGAAATAATAAAACATGTAAACTATTGTGTACCTTGTTTTGAGAGTTGAGTTCAGATTGATACTTACCACCAGGGCTGCTTGGTGTGTAGGTCACTAAGTAATCTGTCACCATGACAGAGCCCTCCCATTCCAGGTCAACGGTTTGATCCGTTACCCCTCGTATGTTCAGGTTCATGGCTGGTGCCACTGTTGAGTTACAAAACATTATTAAAATATGAATGTCACATTTTTATTAATTTATTAAAGAAAGTAAAAAAAATAAACAATTGCTTGCTAATGTGAAACCACTAACAAATAAAATGTCTATTTTTCACTCCGTATTCACAAACTGAACAACATAACTGTGGACTCACTTAATGATTTTGCTATTGCTAACAATATGACAGTCAGAATCAGCCACCTGTTTGCCAGAGGTTTGWGAAAATATTGTCAAAGATCAAATATCAAGATTAAAATATGGTTTGTAGCCAATCTGTATAAGTACAGAGGAGCTATTTCAGGAMCTGATACTGGAGTCATGGCACTAAGTCCCTGGCTATGTCACACCATCACACAGTACAAAATGTACAAATCAAATAATCAAATAATTTCTGGCAACATTATTTGTTTGTTGTGTTCAAATTGAGMTGGATGAGGATGTCATATTGCTTTAATTTTTAGAAATATTAACCACCATATATGTATTAGGATTAATTAGATTGCAATAAAAAGACTACAGACRTGGTGATTGGAAAAGCTTTACAGTGTTCTGCAGGCTGACTGCATAAGTTCTTAACTTTTAGTATGTTTACAAGTTTGTGGTGGTTTTCTTCTGTGCTTTCCAAGTAAAGGTATTTCTAAGAAAAAAAAATACATTTTTTTCTTTCTGTTGCAGATATTTTCAAACTCTYATAATTTCTAGATTTTTCCAGAATTGAAACAATAAATTTAAAAAAATGCATTCATATATTATGATGTCAAGAACAGAGAATTTCACAATCTAATACAAGAACTGGGAAATCAAACAGTTTGTTTTCGGGTACGTTTCAGGATGCCAGGGGTGCMGTTTGATAGTCTGGCAATCTTGGAACCACACATTTCTACACACGTTATACATTTTCACTGCTGAAGGCGATAACATTTTCACTTATATCTGTGCATATGAGCTTGTAGTGGTAGTGAAGCCAAGTGAACTTAGTAAACAGAAACGGCTATAATTTAACCAGTTTTACAGAAATTGCACTGAAAGTTTTAGGAGTAGCTGATAYGTTTTGCCAAAACCCACTCTGAGCACTGAATGATCTCAAAATATCCCACAAGATCATGCCTAATGTCATTCACAAGGTTCATCCAAAATGGATATATCTGTGTCTCTTCTCAGCATAAGATGATTTTGTTTAAAACTCTGACATTTAAGACAGCAGGTGTGCATAAATAAAAAAATAAGGCATTAAAAATAAAATCTCTGCAATATAGTCACTGAGTTTTCTTTACTTCTTAGTCATAATGAGGCGCATGCTTGGGAAATAAAGTTAGTCGGATTTTGATTAAAAACAAGAGATTGAAAACAACTCTTAAAAGACTGATGCAAAAAAAATCTGCTGAGTGGTGGATATGTTTCAAGGTCGGTCAGCAAGTGTGATTTGAATTACCATCATTTCTTACTGAATTTAAAGTTTGCCAAGAGTGGGTTGCAGCACTTGAAATTAAGATCAATCATAACATCAAAACATTTGTGTTTTACTTTAATCGCTGAAGTGCTGCAGCTTTTTTTTCTATTTTTGCAAGTTTATAATTGCTCACGCAGCAAAGCAAAAGCCTTCCACATTTGTACACTTGCATACTCAAGAGCACACAGTCAGGTAGTCTCTAACAAAACTACGTATATACTGTACCTGTCATAATTAAAGACACTTCAGACAGAATATACAACCTCCTATTTGTGAGTGCAAACTCCCTCAAGTAAGGGAAGGCTTATTGTAGTGAAAGATGGCTGAAGTGGAGATTTTTAAGCCATAAACCCAAGATGTGGTTTTGATTCTTAACACGGAGCCATAAACAGGAGTGTTTACAGCTCCTCCTGCTACGAAGAACAAAGGGGAGGAGGGGAGACGAGTGAAGGACATACGAGAGGAAAGCGTGAGACAGGAGAGACCAACCGTCTGAGTCTTGGCGGCTCCGAGGAGGAGAACAGGAGAGGAGAGGTGCGTGACGAGAGTGAATAATTAACGCTGAAAGATGATCAAGTGAGAGATAAAGACAACAAGGGCGAAGCAGAACGGGAGAGACAAACACGAGTACAGGAGCAGCGAGTGTAATGGTGTGATAAACAACCTCTCACCCCTGCGAAACAGGACACAGCAGCACAGTACCGAGTCCTCCTCTGGGAACTTTTGGGCACTTTAGTAGCTATTTCAGCTACTTTCTCACGCGTCTGACAGATGGGCACATGCTGTGCAGCAGCTTGTTCATTTCAAAGCAGTGGGGACAACTCCTCCAGCATTCTCAGCTAGATTTATTTCATCAGTTCGACTCAACTTTGATGGGTATCAGGAGGAAATCACAAACAAAGGGAAGCAGAGGCAATCGACTTGATAGAAGAAGAGCGATGAGATAAAGCCATTCTGAGAGCTAAATGATGATCGACTTAAAAATAAAGATGTAGCACCAGTTGAAAGTGAAGGACAGAGTAAATAAGATGAGGAAAATCTGTCAGCAATGCTTAAAATGGTAAAGTTTCACAATGCATGCAATAAAGGATAATACAATAAGCTTAATGTATGAAGTAAAAAAGTACGGCGGAAGAAAAAATCTTTTGATGAATGCTAAAGGCATCAGAAACTAACCACTTGTGTAAAAAAGATTCTCTACACAAATGAGAAGATGCAAAGTACTCTGTTTATATTATCTTTAATTGTATGCTCAATGCTCTTGGTTTTAGGTTTTGAGAAAAACAAAATAAAATAATCTTTCAAGAGTGTATTCTTCCAGTGGTTTGTTTCAAAAGGAGCAACTTGCTGAAGGCTATTAGTGAATCTCACCTGAAGTCTGTGAGTCTCATTAGGTCTAATCAGTGTGTTGTTACAGGCGGATACAGCAGCATCATCTGAACTAAGACCTTTATTTGCAAAACTCAAACTCACAACAGAAGTCAGTTCATCATCAGAAGGCCAATGAATCTCCAGGCTGAACTCTTTTTTTTTTGTTAGGAATTATTTAAAAAGTTGGACATGAAAAAAACAATAGTTTGTAGTTTATGTGTGGAGTCAGTGAAGTGAGGCCAATATTTACCTTTTATTTATTCACATTCTCACTTTAAGTGGTTACACTGGGGCTTTCTTTATACAAAGTTTCAACATCTGTTCAGTTCACCAAAAAAAAAAAAACAGAGTTCAAATTTGTTATTGCTTTTAAATCCCTCTTTTCCACATTTTAATCATTTAATTGGGGTCTATATAAAGTGGAATTGCAATGCTTTGGTCTGAATTCCTCCGAAGTGTGTCTCAKCTCAACTCCTTTTGATGCTGTCTCTTTAACTTCAAATGAGGCGCTTCACACCCAACCCCCCTCCAGCTTCCAGAGCAGCCTATTGTACTTTGACAGAAGAGTTTACAACTATATAATGGTGCAGAAACATTTTTATTGACAAATTAATTAAAAKATGTCAACAAAAGAAGAGTATAGCCAATCTGCTGCAGGTCTGACAAACAGAATTTTCATTTCTGCTAATGTCCATTCCCAGTGGACTGGATGAGATGACTGTGAGTCTATTGATGAACACTATTTCACACCTAGAGACAGAACTTTTGTAAGGTCTAAAACTGTGTGTTAACATCACAAAGATGTAAATGCAGTCTAGCTGAATTGATGGAGTTCCCAGAAGCAGTTTTTAGTACAGAGACCGGTGTCTTCCACCATGCTGTTATTGCTGTAGAAGTGCCAATGTTTACAGTCCTCCAAATAATAAATAAATACATTACTCTACATTAAATCTGACAGGAATAATATCTCCTGCATTTGGACCTTTAAAAACATCAAATCTGTCTTGCAAGATCACTAGGTAAAGAATTAACTGAGCTACGGTGAAAAACGGGCTGAAAAAGAGCTTCTCTGAGGGAGAAGTAGTGTTGGGAGCAACAGACAGTTTAAGTTTCACTTTCACTTTGTTACTGCCGAGAGCCCACAGGAGTCATGGGCGGGGTGTGTGGGGTGGGGGGTGGGGAGTTGTGCTCCACGATTAGGAAGCTTGGCTTAAAGACACGTCCCAGGGGTGTTTCTGGTCCCCACCTGTCATTCTGCTCCTCAGGATGGCTTCCTAAAAACACTGCAGGATTTCTCAAACATGCATGAATGAGTCAAAGCAAGGCTTTGGGCATGGTTATTTTTATGAGAGTATAACATTATAACATGATATAAAACTCAAAAAAGTTGATTTTCCATGATAATGCCCCTTTAATTGTTTTATGTCTATAGAAATGCAAATAAATATGTAAAAAACTACAATAATCAAATTTTAGTCAAGAAATGCTTAAATGTGTAACAACAAAAGATTTTACTCTATTTTTTGCATATAGTTTTAAAAATATAATATATTTTAGTTTTGTTTACATTTCTTTATAAAGAAATAAAGCTACATTACATAYACTGACTTTCTAATTATAACAGCTGAAACAACTAATGTCCAAAAAAAAGGCTGCTAGCTTGCAAATCCATGAATGTCATTATAGGTGCATTCTCATGAAAGCAATACATTAGAGATATAACAGGGCAGCATCAGTTATTTTACTGTTATGATATACACCTCACGTTTAAAAAGAAACGTAAATGTAAATGCGTGTTGTCACTGACGTCCTCACTGCKTCTCATGAGAATGGCCACAGAATCTGCAATAAGAACTCAAAATCCCTCTTCAATGCAAGTTGATATCTGCTTTGTGGATGGAAATGTCAGTACTTTTATGTAAAGATATACATGCTATTTCACTCCCCATGACCCAAACCTCCAATTTAAATTCAACGGTCTCTATTATTTTTCATGGTGAGAGAATATAAGCCACCATAATTGAAGCAAAAATGTATGCCGTTTTCTTCAGCTTCTGATAACATGAAACACTTAAGCCTGTCACCCCGGCATGCCTCTGGTAATTGAACTTCTCGTTTTGCATTCAGCAAACTCCCCCCTGCAAGCACCGGCTAATTACAAAGAAATAAGCAATTCATCTCTCACACTTGGTATAGATATTAAATGGGAGAGCAGAGCGGAAGAATCAGCCTCAGTGATCCAATTTCCAGTCCCTGACTTTTTATCGCTCGCTCCTCTGTCCGTCCCCATCCGTCACTTTGTTGACAGGTGCCTCAAATGGCAGAAGAGGATGTGATATTTTGGCATGGCGAGTCGGCTTTGAACAAAGAAGCGCACAGCTCCTAAACTGTCTCAGCTGCAGCTAATGTGACAGTTTGCACCCCGGATGAATGTGACTTTTGACAAATGAATCTTGTTAGACCTTCTGCTGTCCACCAAGCCGTGCACCCCCAACCACTTGTATGTGAAGCACAGACAAGTTTATTTTTCCGGCTTATGAGTGTACTAAAAATATTGAAGCAAGGATTTTTTTCTCACCAGTGGAATCCACCTTACATTTAAACATTGACACATTATTGTTTCTTGTTTCCTTTCTCATAAATAATTTATTATTATTGTTATGAACATTATTCTATAATATGATTTGCCTGCTGTAATCTTCCTGACACAATTTTAAAACATTCATTGCACTGGTCCAATAACCCAATTAATTAAAAAGACAAATTAATACTGACAATCTAAAAACTGCTTTTGTCGCTGCAAATAAAAAGGTTATACATTTTCTCATTTGTTTATTTATTATTGGCATATTTTAACTTTTACTGATTAACAATATATAGAACCATAATCCATAAATAATATGGTGTATGTGGAGCAAGCCCAGTGTGGCTTGCCAGTGAATTACAGTGCAACGTGGTCCAAAGATAGATTTTAATGATGCTCGTGTTTGTGTACAGGGGCAGTAAGGATGCATGTGTAGGACTGCTTTTGTATGAATGTGAATTAAACTCCATTAGTTTAATGTATCTACACTTAATTTCTCCTCTGAATCTAATCTTGTTGCTTTCAGGAGAGCAGCGTCTTTGCAGCTTCACGTAGAAAGCATAAATAAATAAATTAATTTTTTATCATATCATATACCATGCGAGCGCTGCAAAAGCCATTTTCTGCTGTTTTGATACCTAGTGTTTACCAACACCAATAGGTTTGATTTCAGAATCAACTCTTGCAGCCTGTTTTGAATCCAATGTTTATATGAATGTTCTCACCAACAATCAAACTGTGCCTGAAGTTTTAAGATACAGTCTTTGAAATCTTGATACGAAACCAAACTTCCATAAAAATATATTAATAATAAAAAGTAATGCATATTTAGTTCTCACCCAGTTAGCATTATTTTAAATTGTTTTCATTTTTGTTTTTGATATTCAATTAGGTTTCACCTTTTTTATTGTAACTAGGCTGTTTAGTTAAAACACATTTCATTAGAAAGCTGAGCTGACGTACTTTAAAATTACCTGCCACGGCCGTCACATTTCTCTGAAATGCACTTTTATATTGTATTCATGATAGCTATGTTGCAGATTCAAAACACAATTGCGATCATTCTATGTAAAATTTGYATGTTCTCCCTGCACATGTGTGGGATTTTTCCTGGTTTTTGGGGCTTTTTTTCTCACACAGGCCAAAAACATGTATGTAAGGTGTTTGGCAACTAAATTACCAACGCTAACGGTTGTCTTAACAAGTGATGAACTGACGACTTGTAAAGGACGTACAACACCTAGTTTAAAGACCACAAAGTTCACTGATTCTGTACAGAAAAAACAGGGGGAATGGAAAGATGGATGGAATGCTTTTGTGTGTGTTTGCCCACATTTAGGTTTGTCTACAGAAATACTCGTCAAACATTTTTAACTTTTGTAAAATTCCAACACAATCAATTAAACAAGAGTGCAGTAGACAGGTTGGCAAATGTTTGTGTTTGATGCTAAAATAGGACAATAGATATGTGTGCAGTAGTTTTGTTCCTGCTTAAACATTTCAAAGATTCATTCCACTCTAAATCAGAAGCATGAATTTAATTCACACAAATATACCTGGGCCCCTTATCGCCCGTCTCAGACACATTACAAACACTGAGAAACAGCTGCAACTCTTACTCTAAAATAAATGTTTTTTTATAGACTAAGCATTCAGACTTGTGCACTAGTGGAAAAGAGGATACGTTTTTAGTGTGAGTTTTTGCTTCACTGAATCGAAACACGTCCAACTACATTTTCTTGTTACATGCAATCAAACTGACAACACTAACTTACCTGAGTTACAGTCATCTCCAGCGAACCCATCCTGGCATACACAGAAGCCCTCCTTGCAGACCCCCTTCTTGCTGCAGTTGTTGGCGCAGTACACCAGTGAGCAGTCTTCTCCCACGTAGCCGGGCCGGCACTGGCAGGACCCGTTAACGCACAGCCCCTGATCCGAGCAGTCATTAAGACACCGTCCGACCATGCAGTCTTCGCCCGTGAAGGACTCCTCGCACACGCACTCTCCGTCGATACACAAACCACGGCCCGAGCAGTCCGAGGGGCAGCGGGGCTCTGAACAGTTGTCGCCACCAAAGTCCCGGTCACARACACACTCCCCTTCGATACACACGCCCTGACCGGAGCAGTCATTCGGACAACGGGGCTCCGAGCAGTTTTTGCCAGTCCAGCCTTCTTCGCAAATGCAGCCACACAAATCAAAATTGAAGCTTCCGTGGCCGCTGCATCCAGGGACAAAATCCAACCGTCCTGAAAATGAAGGGAGATACAACATTTAATGGCATGACATTACGACATGATTCCATATTTAGGGGTTTGACACTTTGGGTTACAAAATGCTCCTCATTAATTCACATTGCCTTCTCCCATTTAAAAAAATTAAAATCAGTATTAAAAAAAAAAACTATTGCCAGTCGATAAAATATTAAACATCAAGGTTTCTTTGGAAAATATTTGTCAGAATATCCTCTTTCAGTTGTGGCTCAGTCTTAATCTTTCTCAGCTGAGCACGTTCTTCTCTTTCAGATTCTGATCATGTCTGCCAGAGAAAAAAATAATTTTCTCCCAGTAAAGGTTAAGAGTTTTTGGAGAATATTTGAAATGGGAAAGGTTGTTACTGAAACAGATACTTTAACTATAATTTATTCTGCAGCCCTGTCCACTCCAGTCCTCTCTTATCATAATGGCCAGGCTATCAAGGATTTTTTCATACCCTTTCCCCTACATTGGCAAAGATTAGGGGAAAAAAAGACAAAAATAAAGAAAATAGAAAAACAGTCTGCCCTCTGGAATCAATAATCTACTTCTGTCTGTTTCCTGTTTTCTGCCCGATTTACTTATCGCACCCATTTCTTCCCATCATGTCAAAACAACCTACTTTTTGTGTTTTTTTATCTTTTTTTTTTTTGTCTTTTGAATCTATTTATCTTTGCCTCTGAGCACTCGGTGCTTTTTCAATCAAAAACAAAAACTATAATCAAAGTGGATAAAATAAGCAAAAAGAACAGCTTGCTTTATATGCTTTGTTGTTGTTTTTTTTTTTTTTTTTTCAAAAAAATATGCTTTGTCGTTAGTGTTAGACACAACTCACCCATGGCAGAGCCCTCTCCGCAGCATCCGGATGCACACTGAGCTCTGAGCATGGACACCTCTCTCTCCAACATCTCCACTCTGGTGATAAGCTGCTGAATTGCACTTATTGCTGGACAACCACAAGCTGCTTTTGGGATGTTGATACGATGAGTGAATGTTACCTAAACACAAAGAACATTTGGGTTCAAATGTTTTTTTTTTAATTCAGATGTTTCAGAAAAATTAACCTGCACTCAGCATCTTGTTGACAGCAGCGTGATGGATTCACATACGGAATTCATTTATTTTTGGCTGTCTTTTTGCTCCTAACTATTTTCTGAAGGAAAAAATTAGCCTTTTTTGGGCAATGACTGATTTGCTTTGTTTACTAAGTGCTCTTTACTGATGTGTCAGCTACATGATGCTGAGGAGATTCATAAAGACTTTATCAACACTTTTCCGATACAGAAAATAATATAATGGCTAGCTGAAGAAAAGGAAGTTACACATACAGTCTTTTATTTGAAACATCTACATAAAGTCTGAAAACTACTGGGGGCTAGCGCTTTAGCAGTTTTTTTGTAAACCTAATGGAAAACTTGGGCCACACACAAGGGGGATCACAGAAAAAATTTGAAAGCATCAAGCTCTTGCGCTAAYTTTTATGAGGGCAACACTTTAAAGTGTATACAAACATTGTTTACAATGATGCTGTAATCTGCACAGCTATCTTTTAGTGCTTGTTCCTGTGTTTGATGTTGGTCATAAGCTCACACTACCTAACTTTGTCCAGATTTGTCTTCAGAAATTCATACGCTTTAGACTGACTGCAACTAGGGTCTGTTCTGCTCAAATACTTGTAGGTTTTGTATCTTTAGCACAACACAAACATATTTATCTGTGCAAACTAGCCAATCATCAAATATGACCCTGAAAACAGCATTGGACCCTAAATKTATTTGCTGTCTTTGTTAAATGAGACATATCATCCTTATTTTTCGCATTTAAATCATTCAATTAAGRGTCTACATAAAGTAGAACTGCAATGCTTTGGTCTGATTTCCTCCTTRTTGTAACTCCACAAGCCCCTCTTCCAGCCCTTATTGAGGTGTGTGTTAGATCAACTCATTTTGAGGTTGTCTCTTTAAATCTAAACAAGGCGCTTCACACCCTGACCCTTCCAGAGCAGCAGTGCAAAAACTGTTTTTATTTACAAATTAACTAAAAGATGTAAACAAARGGAAGACTTGTCCATCCAGCCTTACATGTTGGAGCCAGAGTCTGACCCAGAAAGAGAGGAGAATGAAGACGACAAATTTGTAGTTGGTAAGTCTGTACCTCATTTGGTAGTTCTATTGCAAATAATTTGACATAATACTTCAGAAAATGTCATAGAAAATAGAGAAAAAAACTGAATGGGTTGAAAACTATGACCCAAACAGAATATAAAGAWATATTTGAAGCACCGAGAAAGACTAAATCCACTCCTCAAGTCTCTAAGTGCACATTAAAATATATTTAATATCTAAAATAGCTGATTTAGTATAATATCTCCTCTTTAATAATTAGATTAGATTAGATAGACCTTTATTGTCATTGTACAGAGCACAATGAAATTACWGTTCAGAACACCCATTCAGAAGAAGACAGAACATAACAAACATAGGAGAATAGGTGCTCTGGGTCATGCAGCCACAAATCCTGCACAAAGCAAGGATCATCTTCATGAATACATCACGAGGAGGCGCAACCCTTAACAGAAAAACTAAAAACCACACAAGGAAACCAATGAGAAAGAAAAAAAACATCATATTATATCAACAATGTGACACACTATGGTGTTTATAAAACAAACCTCTGCATAGAGCACATTTATTAGCCAGAGGAGTAATTGAGTTTAGGGGGGCATATGCAGTATATTTATATATACTGTATAGTATTGCCAAAAAATCTACCTGGCTTTCAGCATCCATTGTCTGCTCAGTGTATTCTGTTGGTCCGTTTGGATCCACTGGGCCCTCCACTGAAGGCCTGGATCCCAACTCAGCATGAGAATCTGTAAAATAAACACATAATGTATACATACAGTTTATACACCAGTACTGTATGCTTGCCAATAGAATTATAACTAAGRCAAGACTTGTCAAAACCACAGTACTTATTTAATCAGAATCCTTGCTGTCACCTGATTCTGGTGATGCAGAGGCATCCAGGTCAACTGAGCACAGAGACTCCAAGGGTACATTAATGTTGTAGACATGGTTAAAGACTAGAGGTTGCTCCCGCAGGGTCTGGTTGAGTGACGAAGCAGAGGGTGGCTGATCCCCCCCTGGGGTTTGCCTCCTCAGYCTGGTGGTTCGAACCAGCTTGTTGTCGCCTGATGGAGCAGCGCGAGCGGCACCCTGGAGCGAGAGACGATRTGAAACAACAAACAGTGTGCATGGCTTGGACTCAGGGGATTCTGCTTGTTTTTTGTCCTTTATGTGACTGTGCATTTACAAAATGATGGAGGRAAGGGAAAGAAAGAAAAAATCCTTGAGGGACAAAAGAAAAAGTAAGATGACCATAATTTACAGGAAATGAAGAATGTTTTCAGTAGCTGTAAAACTGACTAGATGGGGTTCACACRAGAAAATCTAAATTATTTCCAAAATACTGTTCTAAAAGTTTAGTATTTAAGATTTATCTGAATATTAAATTAACCATAAGATTCTCTTGCGGAATGACTGATTAGAGGCAACAGTCTGCAGGTTGTGAAGTCTCAACTCAATTGGTTCAACATGTATTTACAACATGTGGCTGAATATCAGCATTGCAATTGCTAAAAATGTTTGATTAGTGAAGTATTTATATTTATTGTAGGCACTGCGCCTCTAAAGTCCAATTATGAAGAAGCCAGTTATAGCAAATCTTTCAACATTGAATTACTCAACATGTTTCTGTGCATCGGAATGAACCAAAAATGACTGAATGCATTTAAAGCTTTAAAGGCTGCAGTCATTCACTCATTCTTCACTGAAAAAAAAAAAGGTACGTGGACGGCAACAAATGTTCCAAATCTTGTAAAAATTATTCAGTTCACAATTATCTGCGCCTTTAGAGTACCACTTACCCAGGCTATGGGCACTAATGCAGTCCACACCAGCATGCTATTAGATTTGCAAATGTGTATTTGTAATGAGCTGGACAGTTCCTCTCGTGGAGGTGGTATTAGTTTTTTCACTATCATTTTTTTTCTTTGAATAATTTTGGGATGTATTCAATGYATAAAACAACTAAGTATAGGTACACATCTGTGCTTATCTGATACATCAAACATACTTAACAGGTACCTACCGGATACCTATTGAGTACTTATGTAGAATATACTGATTACATACCTGGTACTTACAATGTTTTGGCTACTTACAAGGTATTAACCTAGTATGCTCCCGGTAAGTATTAAGAAATAACTTGTTATCCTACTGGGTTCGTATTGGGCTGTATTATGTATTCCCTCCTGTATTTGAACATTGTTTTATATTTTTTTGGTTATTTTGACAATATCTCACCTTTATTTAAAAGTCTAATTGCAAGTTTTTGGGTACATTTTCTTGTTTATGGCTTTTTAAAGATGAAGCCATGTCCCTTGAACGAGTTCAATTAACCTGTAACAATGTTAGTCAAAGCCAGTTGTTTTAAAAACAAACCTGCTTAATGTAATGAATCAGATGTTAAAAGCTGCATTGGATAGTTATTGTCACAGAAGACAAATAGGACATAAAACCAGTTAACGTTTCTCCAAAATATGAAGTGAATTTAAAAAGTATAAACAAAATGTACATTCTGTTAAAACAGAAAGTTTCACACAAATACACAATAAAAAATGACATTCTATACATTGAGATTAGTAAAAAATGTTTTTCCCAGAAAAAAAAAATGTAAACAAAGGTAAAAACAAAAAAAAAACAATCATAAAAACCTGAAACTGAAATTAATCGAGGAAAAAAAAAGCACCAACAAGAGCTGCTGTGCCTGATCAGTTTTTACCTGTAGAGCAAGAATCAAAGCCAAAGCCAGGATCCAGCTTGTTGTGGGCTCAGTGGCCCTGTAAAGCTGCTTTGCCAGTGGCATGCCGGTAACAAACCTGCCCGCTACTGTCTGCTCACACCTGCTTGGAAGTGACAAGAAGAAAAACAGAAACGCAGAACATAATTAAGTTAGTACTAAAGACAAAGGCTGTGATACAGTGGTCTCTGTTTGAAAAGAAATGCCTTTGTACTTGTTACTTTACCTGCACTGAAACATTAATGCATGTTCATGCCTACTCTGAGTGTGAAGTCCCACTGCATAAAGCCAATGCTTTGTAAATAATGAATAAAAAGCTTTTGATCTGATGTAAAAAATGGCTTTGAAAAAATAAATTAAATGAAAATGGTTATTAAGCACTGGGCTACAAATCTCTGAATGAATTTCACCGTGCAATCCTAACTATTTGATCCTGTCACTTGAGAGCAATGCAGAAAAATTACACAAGGATGCCGCTGATGGATGGATTTCAGCAGACATAGTTGGAATGATGTTACTACAGTATAATTCACTGTTCATTGAGAAAATTAGAGCAGGGGAATGTTGAAATGAAAACCCACGTAGAAGAAAAACTGGGAATTTTAACAAACTTGCATAAACTCAGAATTTAGCTTCACTAAACTCTAAACTACTACATAATTTATTTAGTTCCGCTAAGAATAATAAGCTAAACAGACCAAAAAAATAGCAGAAACTAATGTTAAATGGCTAATATTCAACATATTAACATCCAAGGAGGTWAAAAGCTGCTTAATCTCACAACAATGTAGTACCACTTGTTTCATTTAATTTTCATCAGTATTATTTTCACCAGTGGAAAGAGGAAGCCGTCTCTGGTCAATACAATGCAAATTCATCATTTGGAAACAATGCCCCCTCAGACATCAGTTTGTTCACAGAGTTATACAGTCTGGCTGACAGTCTGTCTGGGTGACGGTTTTCATTTAAGAGGGAGTTCCCACAATTCTTTGCGCAGCAGGAAGCAATTGGAGCTATTTCACTGGGCGACACTCCCAGTCCCAGCCCTTCTCTTGATGAAGTTCTGATCTGCGGTTTGGCTGAAGTGTGTCTCCGGGTTCTAACCACGCAGAGCGTAGAAGCAAGTACAGCGTGCTTAGGATTCTGACATCAGCAGAATGCTGGATTAGCTCTTGGATTGATTGACAGAGGAAATTTACTTGTGCGAACTTCCTCCCTATCATGTCAGCAAAACTGGCTTTACTGCAAACTGGCCTCCCACGGTTACACAAGCATTTAGATAGAACACTGCAGCAATGAATATTAAATAAATATATAATAATAAAAAAGACAGAACAGCAAAACCAGAACAGTTTTTTTAACGCATCAGGACAATGGACGTCTGCCCATGATCACGCACACACAATGAGGGACACTTTGTGGGTGTGTTTGTTCATGAGAAGCACTGAGGAGGCGGTCCACAGCAGCTCTTCCTTTATGTTATTTTGTTTAGAATTATTAATATTTTTTTTGTCTGAAGCCAGTTTTTAAGAGATGGAACAGCAGCTGGTTTGATCCTGAATTTGAGCTGATGTTTGTCAGATGGACATTAAATTACAACTTTAAAAGAAATGAACCAGACACAGACATAAGTATTCAGTTTAAAACAGTTTTCTCTTTGCAAAGAGTGATAAGTTTCTGAGGACACTTAAGACAGGTCTCAGCAGAAAGTTCTGACCTTGGCCGGGGAAAGCTGAACAATTTATTACAAACAGAGCACAGAGAAAAACATCTTGACCAATCACAGGGTTTCTTCTTATCAATTAGTGCAGCTCAAAGCTGCAGATGAAAATTATGGCAGCTTACAACAGGCCTGTTCTCAGCCGAGAACAGACAAAGCTTCATTCATTCAAGAAAGACATATTTAATACAATTGATTAATGCAATAGGATCAAATATAAAAAATGATAAAGTTTAAAAATATCTATCAATGTTCACCTGACGTCTTTTTCCCATCACCACCACCATTCACAGAAAAAAAAGTTTCTGCAGACTCTTCAGCCAACATATTTGTTGAGTGAAAAAAATACACAATATCCGGCCACTATTATTGTTGTTTATATACTTATATGAGCTGTCGGAGGGTAGAGGGAGGAATTATGATTATCCATAACAACTGTTTATTTAACACCATGAGCAATAAGTCTGTTTCAACAAATCACCTCCCCAAAATGCTGAATCATGTGCAAGGTTGGGACCATGCCTATAGTTGTCAGTATTGTGCATGAATGGACCATGTTATTACTGGAATATATTCTGGATAACTCTGAGTCAATTTTGTGCTTTTTTGGGCACAAGTGCTTCAGAACTTGCGGACCTGGTTTAGAATTTGCGCAACTAACTTTTGCATTAGCACTATCCACCACTGCAATCTACCATGTGTCAGTAAAAATAGTGTGCTGCGTCCGAACACGGGTCTGTTTTTATACATGCCGCTCTCTGAACAGTTCCACTATTAGTGGATGAGTGGAACTGTGTTCACCACTGGATTTTAATTTAAAGTAGGTAATTTAGAATTTCTTGGGTTTTGTCACATAGCAAGTTTTATTGTACAAGTACGACAGATTGTCTTTATGTGTTAGAAATTTGTTTTTCAAGATGTATGCATGTTTGTTTATGTGTGCACAGGACTTGAATAAAATGTGTTATGYTGCCTGTATATGAGAATTTTCAACATCCCATCTCAGGCTATTGTTGCTTSTCTCAGCTGGTGCCTTTGTCGGGTCTAGATAGAAGCCTTCTTATCTGACCTCATATGGCTCCATTTTTTTGATTATTTCAGTCAAAAATGTTGAAGCATCAGTGTATTTGCACATAAATGTGAAAAAGATAACTCCCCAGTGTGTTAGCCAGACATAGACTGCTTAAAAGAAATGAACTAGTTTTATTGGTTTTAMTGAAAATGTAATTGATGTCCCAGAATTTCTGGTAAGACAAAAAGACAAAACTTTTAAAAAATGCATTTGTGCTTGGTAGGTGTCTTTTCACGTTATGAAATTTTTGCAAGAGCGATTGAGTGTGCAGAGATGAAACGCTCACATGAACAACTTTGATACACACAGTAACCTTAAAAGTGAGAGAAAGACAACTCCTCATATGTTACAATCTACACCACACTTGGCTTTAGATGGTGATATAATGTTTTTACAGATGACTTTGGCYTTGCTGAAAATGACTCCCAACTGATGCCCTTCGCTCTCTGCTAAAGAGATGAAAAATGTTCCACTTTAAAACGTCCCCTCGAGCGTGCATCTGCYGCTGACACAACAGTAGTCATTTAAGTGGTGAAGTCGCCAAACAAAACAAGGAGCATGAAAATGATGTGCTGAGATGGACAAAGCCAACTGGAACCATCCCGTTCRCAGCCATTAGTCAAAGCATCGTCTCCTCGCCCAGCTTTAGCAGATAGTGTAAAGCATTTTGAGGAGAGGCTGCGAGCATTTTAAAAGTTTCACTCACTTCCTGTGAGAATCATTATTAAAGTGAATGTTTAGTCTAATACTTCAGCTAAARCTCCCTTTTATTTAACATGTTCATACTATTTTTTGTTAATTGCTGTTTGATGAAGGCAAAGACAACCATGTCTTTGTTCATGTATGTTCATTTGTCTATAGTGTTACCAAAATATATCATAAACCAAATGAAAAACTGTAGCTATGWAACTCTCAGAAAGGAATCAATGAATGTACCTCTACAAATTAGTAGCTGTCCCTCTATTCAAGATGGCCACCACAGATGATTAACTTGAGCCAACACAAAAAAGGCTATGACTAAGCTAATTTTACAGACATTAGGCTGAGTGTGGTAATAGATGATCATTATATGGAATAATGTATTCAGAGCGCAACACGTGAGAAATTTTTGTTTAAAGTTTAGCATTAATGGCTGTCTGTCTGCCCAGGTCCTGTCACAGTATATTRTTTGAGACAACTTATGTCAGCATATGAAACAATGACAAACCCAATGGTGTAAGTTGCATAAGCTTGGTGTAAGTTTCTCATAAGATACCAGAACACTGACATACAACAGTCTACTGTATGTTGTTGTGCACTGATGCCAGCTAATAGTTTGTACAACATGCATGTATAAACTTTTCAGTGTTTGCTTGCGTGTTGCTAAGTTAGGCGTGAGTTACAGGTATGCGACAAGTAAGTTATGCACAATTTCACACTCGTTACATGTAAGTTACTCATGAGTTACTCATAAGTTGACATAAGTCAGATACCAGCTGAGCAATTGTAAAGTGTAAAGTGAGCACGTAACTTATTTCTAACTTATGAGAAACTTACTTCTAACATATCTGTAACTTATATCAGATGTTTTCACAGTGTATACCAAATTTTATATTAATTATTTGTGGCTTTTGTGGGTGACAAAATATATGGGTAACAGGTGTGAAATATAAATTAAAAAAACTGCATACATACGAACATGAATATAAAAAAAGTGATGMATGGTTGAATTGTCTGATATAAGTWGCAAAAACRTCYATAATTCAGTCAATTTTACAGATATTAAGCTGCATTTGATGTGGTAATGGTTATGTGGTAATAGATAATTGTCATCCTCATAGTATTCTGTGAGCTCTAACACAATGTAAGATCTGACAATACTGCAACGTTTGACCAAAAAAGGCTAGGGTCCCTTCTCAGCATAAGATTATCTTAGTTTAACACTCTGGGGTGAAAAGGGGACAGGCAGTATGCATTGCATCAAGGAATGCTAGACCTTTAGTTTAATTTATTTTTAAAAATGAGCTAACTAAAACAAGATGTCACTCAGAAAATCAAAAATGGACATTGAGAAATGAAATGATTGATACATTATTTTCCTCCCAGTTATGTCAAAGTTTCTTGTATTTTTTCATTGTTGCATTGAAAAAAAAAACAGGCTGACATAGTCGATATGCTGATCTTAATTTGTAAGCAATTTTATGTTTCTGTCTTCCTCATTTGACCAGTTCTGACTTTATTGTGATTTAATGACTACTATAACATCTGACCGAAATGAAAATTAGGCTTTTAGTTAACTTTGCTGACATGCATTTATGGTGATGTTGATTAA